ACTCGAAAATGACATAACACTGCAATGTTCCCCCACACCTCTCAATGCTTTGACCCGAAAATGAGCACTCTCTGCAAAGGTGATCACGATTCACCATGTTCTGACTCGAAAATGACATATCACTGCAATGTTCCCAATACCTCTCAATGCTTTGACCCGAAAATGAGGACTCTCTGCAAAGGTGACACGCTTCTCCAAGTTCTGACTAGAAAATGACATATCACTGTAATGTTCCCCACACCTCTCAATGCTTTGACCCGAAAATGAGGACTCTCTGCAAAGGTGACACGCTTATCCAAGTTCTGACTCGAAAATGACATATCACTGCAATGTTCCCCACACCTCTTAATGCTTTGACCGGAAAATGAGAACTCTCTGCAAAGGTGACACGCTTATCCAAGTTCTGACTCGAAAATGACATATTACTGCAATGTTCCCCACACCTCTCAATGCTTTGACCCGAAAATGAGAACTCTCTGCAAAGGTGATCACGCTTTTGCATGTTCTGACTCGAAAATGACATATCACAGCAGTGTTCCCCACACCTCTCAATGCTTTGACCCGAAAAGGACCCCCACTGCATAGTCTGTCACGTATATCAATGCTTTAACCTAAAAATGACCACTACCTACAAAGCTTACCACCCTTTCAAATTCACTACTATAAGAACATGACATATACTAAATCCTTCACACACTTGAATCTCTTCAAACATCTTATCATATTTCTCAATCCCACATTTCTACAATGAATTTTAAGTTTGGCAATTCGTCATCTTCTTCACCTGATTCTGAAGATGATCATATACTAATTATGACTGCTCTTCGTAAAAAACAAGCAGTGATATCTCGTGTTATCGCTTATAACAACATCATCATTCAACACCTTCTCAATCAACAAAACCAAGAAACCTCCCATGGAGGTTCTGTTCCTGGGCATATTGTTATCAATCGTGATCGAGAGGCTGCTGATAGTAGGTTATACAATGATTATTTCTCAGAAAATCCATTGTATAACGAGACCATGTTTCGTAGAAGATACAGAATGTCTCGCTCGTTGTTCCTTCAAATTGTCGATGCAGTCAAAGATCATGATCATTACTTTCAACAACGAGTGGATCGAGCTGGCAGACTTGGATTATCTCCAATACAAAAAATAACTGTTGTCTTTCGTATGTTGGCATACGGCGTTCCAGCAGATGCTACAGACGAGTATGTCAAAATTGGTGAGTCTACTGCAATTGAAAGTATGAAAAAGTTCTGTCGAGCGATAGTTGAGGTATTTGGCGAGCGATACCTGCGGAGACCCACATCTGATGATATTTCCAGGCATCTATATATTGGTCAACAACGTGGTTTTCCAGGAATGTTGGGGAGTTTAGATTGCATGCATTGGAAGTGGAAAAATTGTCCTACAGCGTGGGCTGGCCAATATGCTGGTCGTAGTGGAAAGCCTACAATCATTCTTGAAGCTGTAGCAAATTATGATCTATGGATATGGCAGGCTTATTTTGGTTTGCCGGGCTCCAATAACGATATCAACGTTCTAGAATCATCTCATCTTTTCTCGGATCTAACCCAAGGTATTGCTCCTCCAGCTAATTATATAATTCAAGGAAAAGAATACAACATGTGTTATTATTTAGCTGATAGCATATATCCAAAATGGTCTACCATTGTGCAAACAATTCATGAGCCACGTGGTCCGAAAAAAAGATATTTTGCAATGAAACAAGAAGCATGTAGAAAAGACATTGAACGTGAATTTGGAGTTCTTCAATCACGTTTTAGCATTGTAGCAGGACCAGTACGTTATTGGCGAAAAGAAGTGCTACATGATATCATGACCACATGTATAATTTTGCATAACATGATTGTCGAGGATGAACGTGACCTAAGTGCACCAATGAAACTGAAATGGAAACGCTGCCGCCGGAGGTCGAAATGGCAGTAGATGAAAGTACTCGATTTGAAGAATTCATATCTCAGTACAAAAGAATTAGAAATAAAGATGATCACATTGCTCTTCGAAATGCACTAATTGATCATCTGTGGGAAGAATTCACCAATTCTGAGACTTGAAAGACTATTTATGTTTACTTGATTGTTGTAATTTTTAATTTCTCATCTTGTGTGTTGTAATTTTTAATTTTATTTTGTGTGTTGTAATTTTTAATTTCTCATCTTGTGCGTTGTAATTTTTAATATTTTGTGTGTTGTAATTTTTAAATTTTAATTTTTAATGACTATTTGTTTCTCCAATTTTATTATGTATATATATAATTATTACTTTATAATTAGTTTATTACATAAATTTCAAATTGAATTGAAAATAATAGTGTGGTTTAATTTGTAAAGTTGTAAAATATGTGGGTAGTATTGAAAAGTTATAAAAGTTGATATAAAAGAGAATATTCTGAGAATATTCTTTTGGGTTGGAGAATGGGTTTTTTCGGTTAGAGATGAATTACTGCAAAATAGGATAAGTACTGCAAAATGGGTTTGAGTATGGGGTATTCGGTTGGAGATGACCTTAAAGGTAACGAGGTACATTTTAAATAAAGCTGAATACTAAAATAAATTTTCAAAGAGTATTTAAATTTTTTAATAAAACCTCATATATTTTTTAATTTCTAAAGTATAATTTTTTTTCTCTTTTCTAAGTATACACAATGCCCATGTAGCAAGCACTTGGAAAAAATGTAATGTCTTGAATCTTGATATTCAAATACCAAAAGAGTAAAAAAATTGTTTGGGTTAGGCGAGGAAATGTGTGGCTTTACGGAAAATGACGGATGCCTACTTTTGTGTCGTTGAGTTGGAGTCCACATTTGCCTTACACGTTCTCCATTTAGTTAAATAAAAAAAAAAAAGAAAAAAATTAGAAAAGATTACATGATTTTGATCTATCAATGAAGTTTAACAAGTTAGAAAGTAATATATGATATGCAAATTGCCTTCAAATCGGGTTTCGACCGGCACAACTCATGTACCATCTCGTGGAATTATTTTTTGAGAAGTATCGATTGCTTGCATATTTTTAGTAAAACATTCTGATGTTATAATGATAATAAGTAAAAGTCGAGCTCATAAGCTCGGAACTTAAAATACACAAGGTGACAGAATTTCAAGATGGATCATGATCATTACTTTCCACAACGAGTGGATTGAGTTGGCAGACTTGAATTATCTCCAATACCAAAAATAAATGTTGTTTTTCGTATGTTGATATACGGTGTTCCAGCAGATGCTACATACGAGTATGTCAAAATTGGTGAGTCTACTGCAATTGAAAGTATGAAAAAGTTTTGTCGAGCGATAGTCGAGGTATTTGGCGAGCGATATTTGCAGAGGCCCACATCTGATGATATTTCTAGGTTTCTATATATTGGTCAACAATGTGGTTTTCCAAGGATGTTTGGGGAGTTTAGATTGCATGCATTGGAGGTAGAAAAATTGTCCTATAGCGTGGCTGGGTAATATGCTGGTCGTAGTGGAAAACCTACAATCATTCTTAAAGTTGCAGATTATGATCTATGAATATGTCATGCTTATTTTGGTTTGTCGAGTTCCAACAACGATATCAACATTCTAGAATCATCTAATATTTTCTCAGATCTAACCCAAGGTATTGTTCTTCCAGCTCATTATATAATTCAAGGAAAAAAATACAACATGAGTTATTATTTAGCTGATAGCATGTATCCGATAGGGTTTACCATTGTGAAAATAATTCATGAGCCACATGATCTCTTGAGCCACTTGGTCCGAAGAAAAGAAATTTTGCAATGAAACAAGAAGCATGCAGGAAAAACGTTGAACGTGCATTTGAGGATTTTTAATCACATTTTGGCATTGTAGTTGGACCAGTACGACATTAAAAAAAAAATGTTACATGATATAGTAACCACATGTATAATTTTGCATAACATGATTGTCGAGGATGAACGTGACTTAAGTGCACCAATCAAAACTGAGATGGAAACGCCGCCGCCGGAGGTCGAAATGACAATAGATGAAAATACTCGATTTCAGAATTCATATCTCGGTACAACAAAAATTAGAAATAAAGATGATCACATTGCAATTTCGAATGCACTAATTAATTATTTGTGGGAGGACTCCGAGACTTGAAAGACAACCTATTTTTACTTGTATGTTGTGATATTTAATTTTTTATCTTGTAAGTTGTAATTTTTAATTTTATATTATATGTTGTAATTTTTAATTTATCATCTTATATGTTGTAATTTTTTATTTTATTTTGTACATTGTAACTTAATTTATCTCGTGCGTTGTAATTTTTAATTTTTTCTTGTGCGTTGTATTTTTTTAATTTTTAATAAAATATTTATTTCTCCTATTTTATTATGTATATGATTATAACTTTATAATTAATTTTATTACATAAAGTTCAAATCAAATTTAATATGTGGATAGTATTGAAAAATTGTAAAAATATGTAAAAAAAGATATATTCTTTTGAATTTAAAAATGAGTTTTTCAGTTAGAGATAAATTACTGTTTAATGTGACAGTTACTGCAAAATGAGTTTGAGAATAAGTTTTTCGATTGGAGATGGTCTTATGAGGCCACGTCGCCCTAATAAAAACGACGTCATTTTGTGTTTAAAACGACATTGTTTCCTTTTGTACCAAAACAGTGTCATTTGACACTGATATTTCTCCAACCTACTGCCTGCGCGTTCAATCCTCGAGAAATTTTTCTCCTAAATTTCGTTGCCTTCGAATCTGAAACTCTAATTTTTATTTCTATGCAAATCTCTTCAATTATTATTTTTTGTTTATTTTTCCGTTCCACTTATGATTGTTGCCTCCAAACATCAATCTTCCCTTCTTATTTCCTATGCGAATCTGTTCGATTTTTTTTCGCGTTGGGTCTCATTTTTCTGTTGACGGCTGGTTCGAGCACGATCGCGTGAACGGCGGTGCAATTTTCCCCACCTATAGACAGATGGATCAAATCTAGACGGCATGGAGTCTATGGACTCNTCCCCCCACCAACGGGCCCGCGTCCCAGGCCCGGACTCACCCAGCCCGACCCCAGGCCCGTCCCCCAGCCTGCGGGCCCTCCCAGTACAAGGTTCACATTTCCCTGTACAGTCACCAGGTTGATATTCCCCTGCACCGCCCCCCACCCAGGGTCCACACACAAGTCCGGCAGTGGGCCCGAACTAGGGCCCGCTAAACCCACACCACCCATTGGTGCAGCATTCGTCTCCCCTTCACTGCTTGCGGCCGAGACGGGCTCGGCCCGAATTGTCAAGGCGTCGTTTTTCGGGCCAAACTCCTCGATCGAGCTGAAGCAGTCGTCCCTGCAGTCCTCGAGGAACTCGCGCGCAAACTTGATGGCGGCCGAGGGCGAGTGGGGGGCTGCCATTGAGTCGACCTCTGCAAGAAGGTCCGAGACCGACTCCTCGCCGAGGGCGTCGAACTCGATGGGCTCGTTCGCACTCGTCAGCCAGCCTGGCATGTTCGTGTGGGGGTTGGTGGGGGGCGACGGGAGCTCGGGAGCTGAGGTGGCGGCGGCTGCTTCCGGGGGTTTCAACGAGAATGTGAAGGGTAGTTCGCACAGCTCGTCGACCATTTCCGAGATTTGGATGGGGAGATTTACGAAACCGGGATTGGGCTGGGATGTGTGGTCGTCGGGTCTGGATGCGGGGCCCAGTAGCTCGAGGAAGCCAGTGTGTTGGGCTGGGGAATCTGTGTTTGGACTAGGGAAATCGAGAATGGACATATTATCGACCTGTTTATTTGAAACGAGAGATTTTGACGATTCTATATCATTTGAGCTCAGATCAATATTGAAAGATCTCAATTGTTCTTCTTCGGCAGGTTTCTTACTAGAATCGTTTTGAAGTTCACGTCCACTGGAGATTGGGTTTTGAGGAGTCCCGGTTGAATTATTTTCCTCTTCTCCATGTCGTGAAGTATCGTGGTGAAGATTTTCACTCTCGTGAACACAATCTACCAGAGCTTCGTGTTTTTCCTCAAATTTCGATGAAGGAAGCAAATTATGTGCTTGAACATCATTATTATTATTATCTTTCAGAAAATCCCAACACCGTGGCCAAGAGTTGGGCTTATCTGCCCCCACCACAGCTCCAGCATCATGGGCGGACGAAACACTCGCATCATTACAAGGTGTGTCGACGTTTCTATTATCCTCACAACTTACATTTATACCCTCACTAATTGTCTTGATATTCCCGGTAGCCCCTTCTTCTTCCCTTGAGGCCGAGTTTGAAGAATCAGATGCTCCGTGAAATCTCCCGTTCAAGGCATCGGTGAGAAATACCGAGTCATATTGCTCGTGATTTGACCATATCCTCATATCGGGCGCGTACAGTCCAGTCGTGCTGCACTCACGCAGCTGCAGCATGGAAAATGGTCCGTGGATCTTGCCGTCTGGGTCACGATAATGCCACAGTTTCTCAATATCTGTAACGTTGGGAGATGGCGAGTTTTCCACTGAGGCAGTTGGAGTCGAGGTCTCCAATTCAGACCTTTGCATGTATCGATCATTTGTACTGTCGGTAGTCAAGTTAGTAACATTTTCTTGATTTGCGTATTTGTCCAAACTAATTGATTCACCCATGTTCGTTTTGTCGTTCATGCTTTCTTGTGCCTGGGTGGGACTTTCATCTTTACCTGAACATGGTATTACTTAAGTTTCCAATTCCAGGATAAATAAAATTAAATTTTAATAAATAGTGTGCCCCTACTTGAAATATTTTTTCTTTGAAAAAATTTACCTTCTACATTCGAAGAAATGGTTTTCCTTGCATTCTGGGGAAAATTTGAATAGCTTGTCTTCTCATATTCATCTGCATAATTAAGTATGAGGCATCAATAGTCTCCAAATTAGAGAAACAATATGAAAATGAAATTACTTGATAGAAAGACATCTTTTAGGTACCTTTCTTACTGTCATCACTACTTTTGATATCTTCCTCTGATTCATCAGCCTCCCTATCACTTCTAACAGAACTCACAAACCCAGCCGGAATAGAAGAATTAATCTGACAATCGCCCTTTATGAGAATGTGAGACTCAAGAAGCTTCAACATTTCAACGTGACCGACTCGAGTCTTTCCGAATATACTTTTGAGCCTTGGGTCACATTTGATCTGACTCTTTCTACGAGGATCCCAAAGGTTGTTTCTATTTATGTAGTCGAGCAATAATGTTTGCACCTCAAATATAGACATAGCCGACACATCACCGTCCTTCATGTGTGCAACAAATCCCAAGAGGTTTTTAGTTGCCCATTCAGTACTATGGTCGGCTTCTGGCTTTTCCGATTCCTCACCATTCTTGTCCTTGGATGTGCATGGCTTGTCAGTATCTTTGGTAGAATTTAGATTGTCTTGATCATTCTCGATTATTGCCTCATCAGTGGCCTTCTCGATGCCCGTTTCTTTCATGATTTCTTCCACGTTTGGTTTTGCAGGCCCATCTCCCTCAAATCGGTTATTTAGTTTTTCCATATTGTTAGAATCGCTTGGTAGTGGCAGATTATGCTCTAATTGGGGCTTCTTCGACTCCAAGGGATCCGTACTACTGTCAGTAACAGGAATTTCTACATTAACTGCAGTTGGCATTAAAATACTTCTCGGGGGTATATAACTTCCAGCAGTCATGCCTTTTCGCGTTTTGTTAGCTCGAGTAAGGTCGTTCAGTGTCAATGACAACTTCTCCTTTAGAATTACCCAATATATCTTGAAGAGATACTCCCAGCTAGTCTGGTCATCGAAATCTACCTTAATCTGCGCAAAAATATCAAGAACAATCAATATGGGTTGACAGCTTTCAGGGAAAGAAGTGACATTTCAGGCCAGATTATAAAGTTTTATTACTTTTGGATTACAATCAAATGATCGATGAAGAAATTTAATTGATCTAAAAACGTTTATGAGAATTCCCAGCCCAGAGAGTTAGCTTCATCCACTCAGACAAGCTATCGACCTAAATGCGCAAATTCCCTGTATAAGTGTCAGTATATTCTGCCCTTTCCCTTACCTGTTAGCATGCAGAGGCTACTAAACGTTCCAAATAGGCAAATACAATTGGATAAATGCAAATTAACCACAGGGCACCAAAATAATTCTTTCCTACTGCATGCAAATGACACAATATCTTATTACTTCCAAAAATGCTTAAAAGATTGGATTGGTTTTGGGAAAGCTATATAATAGAAAGACGAGGAGAGCATATAGGGCCATCTTGACTTGTACAGTTACTATTGGTTATGATATGCCACAAAGTAACGTGTTAAGGGATGAATACAAATTAATACAAGCCCCAACCGCAGTTTCCACATTGTGCATGCATCTACAGAATAAGATGCATATTTTATCATAGCAGGCAACGGAAAAATAATAATTATTAAGCCCCTACTTTTTCATTAAGTAAAAAATTGGGACTTGAGAGTGAGAGACAAACAGGGAGAGAGAAAAAGAGAGTAGTTTCTATTGTTTCTATTTCTATAGTAGATGCAGGTATGACAACACAAATGCCAACATATACCTAAAAATAGTAAAAGATTTCTAACTAAATGAATGAAAAAGAAAAAAGAAAGATGGAATTAAAGAAAAAGAGACAACTTAAATCAACCCAAGGTTTCAGTCCAGCATTTTTTAGCCTAATGAGAAACTATTTTCATGATCCAGATTTTTTAAGCAAGCACATTCTAGGAAGCTCACTAACCTGTAAACGCAGAAAAAATTGAAACGGGAGGTGAAGAGGGGGGACAGAGGAACATATATACAAAACTAAAAATGAAAATGAGAAATGGAAAGAAGAATAAAGCAAAACAGAAAAACAAACAAACATCTTAAACATTAAGAAAATAATGATCACTGCAAAATTAAAATAAAATAATAAGCTATTGCTCGTTACAGATGTGAAAGTAGCTCTTCTACAAAAATAAGGGAATGAACAAATGTATATTGCTCAAGAGGAAATAGCAACATGCATGCAATTGTTTCAATGAGATGGCATGAACCCGACACAATTTCCTACCTCGTTGTTTGCATGGTCTTTATTCTCAATCAGCATGATAGTTTTCATGCAGGTCGAGCAAAATCCTTTGTTTCCTCTGACACGCGCATAATCTGTGTCTTTGATGCATCCCTTGCACAGTGAATAAGTGCAAGTGTAACACATATAATAAGAAGCCTTCCGACATACAATACATATGTGCCATCCTGAAAACAATAATACCATAATACATATCGTTGACGTGAAGGTATTTTACCAGGTAATGTTTATTCATGCATTGCTGTCTCGAAGTATTACGAACAAAGAAAATCGGAATGCATGACTGCAAAATGATAAATGGATAAGGCCAGGCTGGGGAAAAAATCTATTTTTGGACAAAAACTTATTACAATAGTTTATCAATGCAAGAAATACACATTAAGCAAGGCACACAAAAATTTCAAAGTTTTATGCATACCATCTGAAATGATGTTACTAGATTTGTTTCCCAAAGAAAGACACGACAAAACAATTGAATAGCACGATGTGAGGCAAAAGAAAATTCAAATGCATATCAATAAACGAAAAGGAAGTTACTACAACTCATGAAGTTCCCAAGAAAGCAAAAGGCAACACACCGCAGTTCCACTTAGTTTTTGATCTAAAAAATGCTTCGTCTCGCTTAATGCACGCCGGATGATAAGCCTTCGGACATCCTCTGAGAATCATAAGTAAATTTCAGTCCAATAAGTAATCAGAAGTGAAGTAAAAATTTCTCAATCTGACTAGCAAGCACAATTACCCTTTCTCTTATACAGCTTTCACATACGACAATGAGCAATTTACGACACATTTGTATCATAAGAAAGCAAGGAGATTTTCATTTACATAGTAGCAATACATCAGATATAAACACTCACTTTCGATCACAGAGAACCAGAGAGCCACCATCGAAGCAGATAAAGCAGACATCCTCTTCCTCTTCCTCCTCCTCCTCCTCCGCCGCTTTATTCCGCTTGGGCGGCCGAGGGTTCACCCGTAGCCGCTGTCCCTTGGGCGGCCGCCCTCTCTTCCTCTTCCCTCCAGCGGGAATCTCCAGCTCAGCCACCGGCGCCACTTCCTTTGACGCCGGAGGCGTCACATCCGCCGTAGCACGCGGCGGAGTATCTGCCGGAATCACCGCCGGAGACTTCGAATGCTCCGACCCTCTCTCCTCTTCGTCAAATCCCTGAGTCTGAGCCACAGCAGCTAATAAAGTCTCTATATTCTCCATTTTAGAAAGAAACAAACCACCGGAAAACCCTAGAATCCCCCAACTGCTTCCCAGCAACGAATAGCACAAGAGACCAACTCGAAATCCATTGATCTCAACAAAATTCGGCTGAATAATTCCCAACAAAGTGAAAAATCGGAAATGGATAGCGAAACAGAGAGATGGTCGGCGGATCTCAGGCAACTGAGCTTTGGGTTATGGAGGAGTTTGAAGGTAGATTTGAGCTAGCTGCAAATAGTAAAGTAAGAATCTTTTTCTATTTTCCGATTATCATCCTTTGGAGGTTGAATTTTGTACTTCTTGTTTATATTAAACTAAAAGCCCCTACCCAAACTGCTTTGATGAAGCTAATTAGTATTCCATTTGGTGCACATGCTCACATATAAATAAAATTTTATAGGCTATATGAGTATATATGTAATATTTAAAATAATAAAGTTCGATAATAAGCTATCGCGTTTTATAAATTTTATCATTAATCAAAATAAAATATAAATATAAACTATTTACTTATATATGAATTTTTATACTGATTGTAATGACGTAATTTTTACAATCTTGACTGATTATGACATCAATAAAATAACATTAAAATTGTTATTATAGCAATTGTATATAGAATTTTAAGGGGTAATCATTAAAAAAATAGCAATTGATTTAGGCCAACTTTGATATGGGATAACTGTACCAAGTCGGCTAGACCGGAGAGACAACCAAACCGAACTGGACGGGACATCAGGTCGAACGGAGAATGGAGACTCCTTAGGTCGAAAGATCCACAGGTCGAAGAAAGCACACCAGCAGGTCGAAGAGGGCCTGGGGAAAGCTGGACTCGAGATAGTACTTGGTCGAAGGATCGACCAAATGAGCAAGACAACAGGGCTCGATTTTGGTAACATTTCACCTCGACGTAATCAGGTCCAAGGCATGGTTAGACCATCTAATAATGAAGAGGACTAAAGGATAAGAAAGCATCTTAGGGAATTAAACCCCCACATGGGTAAAACCACGTGGCACCATCTGAGTGGTCCATGCTTCATAACCGTCGATGACACACTGTGCAATATAGGTTGTACAATCGAGTAGCTCGGGTAACCAGCTCATCACATCCGGGCAGCCTTCCAAAAACAGGTACCTTACCCTATAAATAAGGGTGATATGTGCAATTTCCAGCATTACATTCTCTATTTTACATATTATACAGAGATTTCTCTCTGTACTTCATCTTCCACACATACACATTTAAGTATCGGAGGCTCTTAACAGGAGACCCCTTCCGGTGTGAGAATTCTGCAGGTTCAAGGACGTTCAATCGACGATTAGCTCGAGATTCAAACGTTTCTAGCCTTTACCAGCCGATCGAAGGTCGTTTGATACTAAACTCATTAGTGGTGGTACAATGGTTTGGCTTCAATTAGCTTAAAATTGTAATCAAAATAATTTATGAAATTATACTGTAAATTGATTAAGGATGCTTCCATTGATTAAGACCGTTGCAATTTTTTTTAAATAATAATAATAAAAAAGAATATAGTATGTTACCATTGATAAAGAACGTCANAAATAAAAAAAAAATATTATTTATTAAAAGATTTACTAGCAATTATACATATAAATTAGGTGGAGGAGTGAGTCGTGATTGTGTCTTCGTGAGTCCATTGGTCAAGAAAGAAACACATTTTAGGGTGTGGCCATTTGGTTGCCCATCTATGTACTCATCAATTTATGTCATAGTCAAAGTGCTTATGATAGAAATGAACGGCTTAAATAAATGTATTTCTCATATTATAAAGTTTATAAATTATATTTCATAAATTATTAATTGATTTATTATTTTTACATTATGAAAATATATGTCATTATATTTTGTATTTTTCTCTATATAATGGTTCAATTTTAATTTTTATTATGCCGAAAGAATCGGAAAACTTGGAACTATTATCAACAAGGGGAAAAATCCATTTTCAAAAATGGAGTATTGAAATAGATTTAAAATTATAAATGGACATAAATAAAAATATAATAATTGAAGTTGATGTAATGAAAATAATATAAAATTAATTTATAGTGATTAATAATTAAAAATATATGACGGAGTGAGCAATATTTTTATTAAAAAATATACAATAATATTTTATATCTTTAATCGTATTAGTGATACTAGAG